TTCTGCTCATATTATGTCGCTCAATGCTCGAGAACGCCTGTTTCCAATATGATAGGCATACCTCGCTTCTCGAGATGATATCGTTGCACAGCCGGATGTTTTCTTCACCGAGCCGCGAACTCTCCTTGAGCGTGGCTAACTCCTCTTTCGCGCGTTGTAGCTCCTCCTGGAAAAGCACAGAGGCGGCGGACTCCACCACCCTGACCTTAACGGCACCGACATGTTGAGCCTTCTTATTAGCCAGACAGACTTCCGCGCCTGACGAAGCGCTTACCTCAGAAGGGCCGTCCACTGTTCGTTTTCGAGACGCTGCGACCATGGGGGCGGCAGCTAACTAGGGAAAGCAGAGCAAGTATGCACGAGGACAGGTCCACTGGTAATGGTGAGTGTGGTGAGTGGGCTTCGTAGCAGTCGACAGCGTAGATGAGGCGAGTGGTGGCCACCAGCGCTGGGCTGCAAGTAGATCGACGAGAAGTGAGCGCAGAAGCAGCGAATAAGCATCGAAGAGATCGCATAAAAGAGGTGATGCACATGAGAGAGGTCCATGCGTGCCAACCTTGCACATTGAATGGCATAAAGGGCGAAGGCGCATTCATCAAAGAAACAAAGCAGACCACCCCGCGACATGTGGACGACCCTGAACGGTGAATTTCGGGCGGACGCCGACGCAGCGGGCACAGCCACCCTACCATACATGGTAATCGCCTTGATGGTGCCGAGGGCGCGGCACAGCACATGCGCTCGGCAGATGCCGTCGGTCGGCCTCCTCGACCCTTCCCCCATGATGTCCCAGCTCCCTGGCTCAGAGGTACGGTTTTCCAAGCTCCCCCTTCCTTGCTTTCTTCAACAAAGCACAGCGCATGCAGCGCCGCTCGCATCTCCGGCGTCTGGGGCTTCCGTGGGGCGTGGACGATCGACGGCAGTGAGATTAGGTGAGCGCCTGCCTGCGTTCTCTCTCGACCACGCTCACGCACGAACAGCTGTCTCGCCGTCGTTGCTGGACATGCGTCCTCCTTCGGGGCACCGTGCCGCTTGCGACCAGCGGCTTGAAGTCGTCGCCACGCTGACCCGCGCAGGCAGGGCGCGATGAGGCGAGGGTCGCAGGTGCGTACTTCGCATCTCCTTCTTTTGACCACCGCTGACCAAGATCAGGCTCCCACAAGCTGGCGCCTCCCTCCCCAGCTCCCCCTCCCGGCTCCCGCAATCTTCGGTCTATTCTGGCTCGCCCTCGGGCTCGGTCGACGCGTCGGGCATCTCCCAGAAGCCTCGGCGTCATGCTGGGGATGCGCCGCGTCCGTGCTGGCGTGATCTCGCGAGCGTCAGTCACGGCTGGCCTACCGCCCTTGAGAAGATCCGTCTCTCCCGCTGGCGCCAGGACCGGGTTGCCGCTCTTCCGTGTGATCAGCTCCCATGCGTAGGACGACCGACCGCATCGATGGCGGCCCGTCGTGCAAATGAGTGCGTGAATCCGGGCTCGTCCGCGTCGAGGCTCGCTCTAACGTGCACTTCCTCAGCGCACCGGACCGTGATCAGCGTAGCTCATCTGCGCTTGACTCGCCACCGGCCCTCTCGGCGATCTCCTCCCCCCGCTCGTCAACTTGCGCCCGCCCCTGCGCTTGTCCGACAACGCGGACAAGATATCCACGATAGACCAACGTCCCACTCGATCACCATGGTCAGCAGAGACCGCCAGCGGGTTCTCAAGAGTGCTCGGCCTCGGAGCGACCTCCAGCTTGCGTTGGTGTGCGACGAAGCTGACCTTGGGACCTCCATACAACACATTTACGCACTGTTCTGTAGAATATTCGTCTGCTATTCGACCGTTTGCTGCTCAGACGTGAGCTCGTGCCCCTCACCCACTGTTTGGAGCCGCCGGTGCTTCGACGATCACCTTACCCAACGGGAGCGATCTCTGCAACCCGAAGATCAACACGACGTCGATCCTCGACTTTGTCAACGACGAGTCGGCTGCTGCGAAGCTGGTGGCCGTGCGGCTGTTCAACTCGGACGGGGCAGGCCTGCGATGACCCTGGACCAACGCTACTTCTACTTACGCCCACCGCCCACGCTACGCGCACGGCTCCGACGACAGCCGGTCCGCCTCCTCGCACGCCCTCCGATTCGCGCGCGCCCCGTCGGGTCGTCGTGCAACATCACCAGTCCCTTGTCATCCCCGTCGCGCGGGGCATGAGCACGATGATCCCGCGGGCATCCCTCCGTTCCCCGACGGAGGTGCTAAGAGTCGTGAGCCAGCACCGTAGAGGCGCTGACCGATACTGAATATGCACGGTGAGGAAGGTGATCCATAGGTTTTGGGTCGTCGTGGCGCATTGACAACATTCGTCCAGGCTGGCGAGATGCGATGTTGCTCTGCTGGCTCGTTACCTCCTCGTGTCCTTGCGCAATCGGCATGTTCAGGAAGCGTGCATCGACTGTCGACTTCACCTCGCGTACTGGTTTCGCGCTGCCGCCACTGCGGCATTCTTCTGGATGAATCATTGGGTGATGAATTCCTGATAGGATCGGGGCTGTACGACGCCGCAAGCATGTATCGATACGAACGACCAATTGTGGCGGAATCGGCAAGACCTTCGCCGTTTCGACGCTTACCGATGTGGTCCCGCCGGCAGGGTCTGGCGATCAGCCTTCAAGCTACAAGCTGTGACCCTTCCTATCACCTTTGACGAAGCTGTCCTTCATCACTGCCTCGCTCGCTTCCTTCCTTTCTGTCATTCTCTATAAACGACGTCATCAGTTCCAGGGCTTAGGCGCCTCGGGGTGATTATACGACTTTCTCGTGGTCACGCTTCCATTGTATTAACTATTGCCAATACGATGAAGAAAGCAAGGATCCCGTCCTCTCAAGCGGACGCTCTGCAGAGCTCTAGCCCGTCCGCGTCTTCCACGGGTTCAGTTCATCAAAGAGAGAATGCAAGGCGGAAATTCTCTTTGAGCACGATAGATCTGGTAGATGACCGACTTACTCGAGTCTGGACGCGGCTTAAAAGCTCTTGGACCACCGTAATCAAGTGCACCCTCCCGCGCCGCACATGTCCTCTATCGCATCCTACCCCGACCCCGTCGACCACGATATGGGGAACACTTTGAGCCCGTTCGCCGCGCCGAGCGCAGCTCGTCTAAGACTGATGATCAGAGTATGTATGACCCTCCCATGAGATTGTAACGACACTGACAAAGTGGAAGGACGAGGTCAGGAACTGCTTGCGCTCAGAACACCGCCGCGAGGAGACAAGCATGCCCGAGGCGGGGAAACTACAAGGGCGTCCTGGAAGTAAGGGGCGGGTGGTCGGTCGTGCCGAACGCGGGCGACATGGCGAGCCGAGCGAGGCTACTTCGTCCCAGATGCCTTACGTTGATCAAGGGCGTGCCGAAAGTCTTGTTCCTATCTTCCTCGTGAGTTGATCCTCTTCGTCGCTGACTCTTATGAACCCATATAATTTACAGTGCGGGTTCATTGCCGTCATCTGGCTCGTCGCCATTGTGGAATGGCTAGACATACATATGAAATTGATTTGGGAACCCATCCACATCGACGTCCCGTGCTTGGGCAGTATCCCTATGTTGCGCTCATTATCTGTGACTTTCCTGTTTGTACAGTGAACCTAGCCCGGCGCTGTGATGATACCTAGATAGATGAACCTGTAAATATACAAAGCCTGGTCACGCTGGGATGCTTAATCGAGGAGAAACATAGCTTGGTCTCGAGGTACTTATTGTTAAGGAAAGGCGTGTTTGGATAAGAGAGATAACCGACCTATATAATGAACTAGAGGAAGCTCCGGCTCCGCCGGCTCTCACCTCGCCTCACGTGCGTGTGGCGCGCGTGACTTGACGGTTGTTATTCAAAAGCACCGTCCAATTTGATGGGGTCAGTTAAGGACGGGAGAGACCTTGCAAGGCAAGGTAGAAATACTTCGACCTGCTGTATGTATGCAGAATAGGCGGCTGCGCTGGGTGTACCACTGTCGTCTGGCCGTCTCAGCCGTCTCATTGGCAGTACAAAATTCAGCATGCCTTTCTCACGAGCGGGGGGAAAGGTCAAATTAGAAGACATTAAACCCGGATCAATTTGCGGTGTCTGACTTGACCGCCATCGGTGCTGAAGAAGCCAGCGGCGCCTGTCGTTCTACAACCTGCTGCACTCCCCACTGCAACGATCCAGCCCAATCCTGACAACTCCCGCCACGCACCATCATAACTCCACATCGTTCCCTCTATCAAAATGTTGCAGCAATGCAGGCTGATGTTCTTGTAGAGGAGGCCGAAGGTGCGTGCGCCCAGTCCCATACTGAGACACCCGGCTCATATGATGTCAGTGGACGCTGCGGCGCTTCACTGGGGAGAAGCGTCGTCGCAAACGCGGCTGCTCGAATTGCCCTTCCTGAGATGCTGGTCGCCTCGGGGCGTCCGGGGAGGAATGTGATCGACATGTTCTGTCGATCGGACCAGCCCCCATTGGCTATTCGACCTTTCCCAAGACGGTCTCCGGCAACACCCATGGGATTCACGTCGACGAGAGCTCCAACGTTCAGTTCCGTAGCGAGGTCATTCACAACGCCGAGGCGGAGGTCCATTTCCACCATGTACAAGTACTTCCCGCATCACTTCCGCATAACTATGCTCATTCCTACCGCAGCACGGTCGGCGACAGTTTGCTCTTCGCCGTAAAGGCCCGCTGCCCTCGTACGCGTATTGAGGGGTGCCTCGCGCGAGGATTACGCTCGGCATATGCGCGGTAGTCGCGTTCGGTATGCCTCGGAACGATCTCACTGCCGCCATTCCACAGATGTGGTCATGGCTGTGTATGGGTAAGTTCTGGCGATCTGCGCGCTCAAAGTCGATGCTAACCGTGATACAGTCTGAGCCATACTGTGAACACGCGTGTTGGGAGCGATCTCATCCGTAGCGTTAGGTATGTGCCTAGCCAGCGTCTCACGTGCCCCCTGCTGATCCTGCAACAGTGGCGGCGAGCACAGAAGGCTCTCCGTCGCGGAGACCACCATCTCTAAGGCGCCCGCCCGATGCTGGGACATCGCTTTGCCCGTGGTCTCGACTCCGCGACGGCGCTCGAGTACATTCTCACCCTCTGTAGCCATACCGAGTTCACGGGCTCCACGCCGCTCGTCGTCATTTCCTAGGCCTCCGCGTACAATCTCTTCGACAAGGACACCCTTCTCTACGAGGGCCGCCAGATCTACTTCGGCCGCACCACCGGCGTTAAGGAGTTCTTCCTCAAGACGGGCTTCGAGTGCGCGGAGCGGCAGACCACCGATCACTTCTTAACCTCGCTCACGAACCCGGCGGAGCGCATTGTGCGCCCCGAATTTGCGAAGAGCGATCTTTATACGCCGGACGAATTTGCGCAGCGGAGGAAGGAGAGTCGCGCGCGGCAGCAGCTGCTCCGCGACATCGAGACGTACAATGCGCAGTTCCCGGTCGACGACAAGCAGTACAAGAGGTTTCAGCGCTCGTGCCGCAGTCAGCAGCCAAAGTCCTTGTACGTGAGCCATTGCAGGCATATATATGCACGCGGGTACCGATCTTGTTGCAGGAGCGTCAAGTCCTCGTACACGCTCTCCTTCGGCAGGCAGATCGGTCTTCGTGCCGAGCCAGCAGCACAGGAGCGACATGATCAACTTCTGTCACAGTATTCGGTAACTTCGTCACGGGCCTCATCATCGCGAGTGTGTCCTAACATGCAACCGAACACGGACACCTTCTACCGTCGTGGGGCTCTGCTTCAAATTGCCGGCTCGACCAAGGCTTTCGCCGGTATGTACGAGGTACGCGCTTTCTACCTTGTTCAGAGCCTGCCGTGTACTGACTTCTGATTAGATTCTGACCCTGTACGCTCAACGCCCCATCGTCGAGAAGCACTCGCCCTTTGCTCTGTATCAATGGATTTTGGAGGCCGTGGCCAGTATAATTCGTGGCCTGCCGTCAAAGATCAACTACGATCAACCTCGCGTATATCCAACCTGAGCCGCGAGGTCGGCTCGTTCTTTCTATACCTTTATCTGCACGACGACCATGACCATGATCTTCCGAACCATCACCTCTGCGAGTCGCGCGCTTTTGCAAACCATGGCCTCGGCTAGTGTCTTCATGTTGGCGCTCGCCATCTACACTAGTACGTTGTTTTTGCCGACTCTTTGGACAGTCGTGCTCACCCGGCAATCAGACTTCACCTTTCCAACGCGGGACATGATGGTCTGGTTCCGCTAGATCATCTTCCCCATTGGCCACGCCTTCGAAATCGTCCTGGTTGTAGAGTTCAAACGGCGCGTCTTCAACTGCTCAGCACGTACACATGGGTCCCGGCATCGTGAACCTGTCCGGCGAGGACTTTGTCTGCGCAACGACGGGTGCCGTGCCGGGATCTACTATCGTCTATGGCATGGGCTACGTCAGCATGACCTATAACTATCATCGCTCGCTCGTCTGGCGCAACTTCGGTATTTCCATCGGCTTCATGGTGTTCTTCTGCGGGACGAATTTTCTCGCGACTGAGAAGATTGCGGCTGCGAAGCCTGAGGTACGACGACCAACAACTACCAATCTTCTCATGTGTGCTCACTGTTTTTCAGGGTAAAGTCCTTGAGTTGCAGAGGAGCCGTCTTTCTAAGCGCCGTAGCCAGCACGTCGACGACGCGGCTGGCGGCGCGAAGTTCACGGAGGACAACAGCGTCGGCTCGGACTACACCGTGGCCGTCATTCAGCCCTTCGCCGAGATCTTTCACCGGCACGACGTCTGCTCCGACATCAAGAATGAGAAGGAGGACCGCCGCCTGGTCGATAACGTCTGTTGGGTTAAGCCCGACACGCGACCGTTGTAGGTCTTTACGCCTCTCGTCATTGGGCGGCGTTAGTGACGAATTCTTGCGCCGAATGTGGCGTCAAGGGGTTATGGGCGCGGTAGATGCTCTGGATCTGCAGAAGACTCAGAGACAGAGGGGCAGCGGCTGACAATTGTGGCCCTGTGATCGGCGTGGTCGGTCTCCCGGAGCCCGCACTCGGATGTGGTCTGAAGGCCGGAGCGCGCTCAAGACGCCTAATGCGTCAAGGTGAATGCGCTTCCTGTTGTCTCGCCACCGCCTCCTATCCTGCGACCGGCTGTTGGGCGTTCGGTGCTATCCTTTTCGTAGACCTGCCTTTGCGCCAACCCTCCGCAAGTGGTGTGCTGGACGCACCCAAGGTCGATCGTAGCACACTGCGT